TTCTTGAGATATTATTTCTGTGCCACCCAAATTCAGTGATTTTTAGTATATTCACAGCGATGTACAACCACAATCACAGTCAATTTAAAAAAAAAATATCACTGCCTCCTCAAAGAAGTCCTGTAACTGTTAGCAGTTGCTTTGTATTCCTGCTGGTCCTTTGTCTTCCCAGCCCTAGGCAACTGCTACTTTGTCTCTGTCAGCTAGCCTCTTCGGAATATTTCCCATAAATGAAGTCACATAATAGGAGCCATTTGCAACTAGCTTCTTTCACTTAGCCTAGTGTGTTCAAGATCATCTATGTTCTGACATGGACCTGTATTTCCTTCCTATTCATTGTTCTGTATTAGAAAATTCTAACATTCTGTAGTAGAGAATTTTATGTATCCTTCCATCACTTGCTGGGTGTCTGACTTGTTTCTGCCTTTGGTCTGTTATGGATAATGCTGTTTTGTGTGGACATGTATCTTCTTTTCTCTCAAATATGTGCTCAGGATCAGAATGGCTGGAAATATTCCAGTCCATGTTTAGTCTTTTGATGAACTGCCAGATAGTTAGAGGCTTTTATGGAATTTCTCTTCAGTCTCATTGGTGAAGGCCATGGTGTGCAGAATTGTGATGCTTGCCTCTGTGTGATGGGAGCACATTAAAGTAATGGTCTATAGGAGGGTGAGAGATCACATGTGCATGCATGTTCTGTCTATTCTTGTCCTTGTAGTAATGTGCTATTTAGACCTCAAGCCCCTAAGTCATCTAGGGTCAAACCCAGCTCTTTTAGACAGCTTGGCCTTAAGTTTTCTCATGTTTTTGAGGCCTATGCTATATTGTATTAAGCATTATACATAATCTATGAATTCAAAATGAATATTTTATATAACTATATAAGGTTTGCAAAAAAATGTATTATTTTTATTTTATGTGTATGAGTTATTGCCTGAATGTAAGTGCACCTGTGTTTTGCAATGTCCAGGGAGGTCAGAAAAGGGTGTTGGATTGAACTAGAACTGGAGTTATAGATGGTTGTTAGTCATGTGGGTGCTGGGAATCAAACCCAGGTCCTCTGCAAGAGAAGCCAGTGCTGTTAACCTCTGAGCCATCTCTCTAGCCCCAACTAATCTGTTTTTAATGATCTGTTGAAGTCTTTCTGTGGCTATGTTTTGTTGTTGTAGCCTGCACTAACACTGCACTAACTTGTTTTATAACTCTGGAATTTCTCTTTCTTCATCATCTTCTATGTCCCCATCTGCTTAAAGAAAAAAAGATGGGGGCCAGTGAGATGGCTCATCAGGTAAAAGTGCTTGCCATACAATCCTGATGGCCTGAGTTCAGTCCTTGGAATCAATGTGAAGAGGGGAAGAAAGAAACTGACTCCACAAAGTTGTCTTCTGACCTCCCCACATGTGCTGTGGCACATGCACATATATGTGTGCACACATACACAAAATAATAAAATTAAGATGTCCATTTTTTATGGTTTTTATTTCTCTTATCATTTTCATCCCTGATTAAATATTATAAGCTTTCTCCTGTAACATTACATAGGAGTAATTGTGCTTTGCTTTTTAAAAGAAAACAAATGTTGATTTTTCTTTTCTTTTCTAAGATAGGTTTTCCCTAGCCAGGTGTGGTGGCGCACGCCTTTAATCCCAGCACTTGGGAGGCAGAGGCAGGCAGATGTCTGTGAGTTCAAGGCCAGCCTGGTCTACATAGTGAGTTCCAGGACAGCTGGGGGTACAGGGAGACCCTGTCTCAAAAAGACCAAAAAAAAAAACAAGTGGCTAAGATAGGTTTTCCCTGTGATCCCAGCTGGCCTGAAACACTATGTAGACCAGACTGGCCAAAGTTTCCCAGAAATCCACCTGCCTCTGCCTCCTGAGTGCTGGGACCAAAGGCATATGCCACCACACCTGACTTGAATTTTCTTCTTGGTGTGTATGTGTTCCTGGGGGGCGGGGTTTGCATGTGTAAGACAGAAGTTGACATCTGGTATTGTTTTCAATCTTTCTCAATCTTAATTTGTTGTTTGTTTGTTTTGTTCTGTTCTGTTCTGTTTTGAGGACAGCTCTGGTTGGCTGGAACTTCCTCTGTAGTCCAGGTTAGCCTTGAATTCCTAAAAATCCATTGCCTCTGCCTCCCAAGTGCCAGGATTAAAGATATGTGCCATCATGTCTGTCATCTATTTATTTTTTGAGGCAGAGTCTCTCACTGAATCTTCAGCCAGACTGACTGACCCCAGGATCCGCCTGTGTCCACTCCTCCATCGCGCTCCCTGAGTGCTGGATTGCAGGGATGTGCTGCCTGGCTTCTTGTATGGGTTCTGAGGATCTGAACTCAGATCCTCATGCCTACATGTCTCCAACCTACAAATACGGAATTTTTATTTTCAGTGTAGCGCTTATTTAGTATATTGAGAAAGACCTTTTATAGTTTTGGTGGCTGTTTTTTCTTTTGTTTTTAAGAGGCAGAATCTTGCTATGTTGCTCAGGCTGGCCCTAAACTTCTAGGCTCAACTTCCTGCCTTACCAAATAGTTGAGAAAACATGTGCCTTGAAGCACTGCCCCCTTCTTTAAATTGAAGTATAGTTTGATGGCATTTAGATTCTCTCCCCTCTCTGCATCTCCCCTGACTGCCCCCACCCAATTTTTTTTTATAGCTTTAAAGTTTGGAATTTGGGGGCTAGAGAGATGGGACAGTGGTTAAGAGCACTTGCTTCTCTTGCAGAAGACTGGAGTTTGGTTCCTAGCATCTATACTGGACGGTTCACAACCACCTGTAACTCTAGCTACAGGGGATACAGAGCCTTCTTTTGGCCTCTGGAGGTACCTGTATACGTGTTAATATGCATACACAGATGCACACACATGCAAATAAATAAAAATAAAAGCTTTTTTATGTTTGGGTTTTTTTGTTTTGTTTTGTTTTTCTGAGGCAGTCTTGTGTTGCCCAGTGTGACCCTGAACTCCCAGTCCTCCTTCCTCTATGTCCCAAATGCTGGCATTACAGGCATGGGCCATTATGCTTGCCTTTCTGTTTTTGTTCTGACACAGGGTTTCTCACTATAGCTTAGGCTGTCTGTGAACTTGAGATCATCCTGCCTCAGCCTCCCAAGTGCTAGAATTACAGGTGTACTCACTATGCCTGGCTTAATGTTTGGTTTTAAAATCAAGCACTAGCTATGGGTTTAAGCCATGTAAATTATCCGTCTTTTCCCTTGTGCTGGGTCTCGCTGTTGACCCTTCCTCATATTAACACATGTACTTTTCTGCTTCTAAGTGATGGGGCCCAACTCATCTCTTCAGAGTCTTGCTCTGCTCATCCATCAATGGGATCCTCAGTGGATGATGCATGGTGCCCAGAAAACTGGCTCCTTGAGACAATTTTTAATATTTCCTGATTCGTGTCAGACTTAGGGGTCGTTATAAATGGCAGAGTCAGCTAAGTGAGGTCCTTGTTGCATCAGGCAGAGTTCCTGACAGTGTTTAGTAAATAGATGAGAATCAATGATACCTTAACTGCAGAGGCCTGAGGGAGCTGTTACTTCTCCAGTCTTCTTGTTTATATTGATGGTAAACACCTCAGGCCATCTCGCTTTTCCCTTCCTCAGAAAGAACCACTGAATGTTGGGGAGAAAAAATTATTTGATAGAGACAAATGCAAAGTCACTTGTGATTTGTTTTGTGGTTTTAAGAGTGAAAATACTACTTTCAATGTACCTGCCTTTAGATATAGGGAGAACACATATGTTTTAGAGATTAATACACAGGCAGTTATTGCTCTCTGGAATTTTATATATAAATTCTCACAGTTACAAAGATTAGAGGAAAGCAAAATGCAGCATAAAGCTAAATAAGTAAATAAATAAATTGCCTAAGAAACATCCATTTATAAAATTAACCATCAAACATCTGGAGAAATGATTGGCTCAACAGTTAAGAGTGCTTGCTACTTTTCCAGAGGACTTGAATTAAGTTCCTAACACCCATATTGAGTGACTTATAACCACCTGTAACTCCAGCTCCAGGAGACCTGACACCCTCTTGTGGCCTCCACAGGCACTACATGCAAATATGCATACATACATACACATACATAAAAAATAAAAGTAAAGCCTTTAAATACAGTTAACTCTCCATTCCTGTTGACTGTCTTCTCTCTGCTGATGAAGCAGTACCTCTTGCTGGAATGCCTTCCCACTCACCAGCCCATCTAGTCATTGATTCTCTCTTTAGCCCAAGACCTGGGCTGTGCAGGTATTCCCTAACAGCCTTCAAAGTGCAGCCTAAACCTTAACCTCTCCCTGGAAGAATTCTCTGTCCCATGCCCTGCAAAGTGAAAGCTGCTCTTCAGCCTTTTCTGGGGGCCGTGGCTATGGCACCTCCTGACCTCACTTCTAGAACATAGTGCTAAGTTCTACTTGGTGTCCTAGTCAGTGTTGTGTCTTATCTCACTCAAGAGAGGGTTTGGGGGCTGGAGACATGGCTCAGCAGTTAAGAGCACTGGATGGTCTTGCAGAGAACCTGGGTTCAGTTCCCAGCACCCACATAGCATCTAACAACCATCCATAACTTCAGTTCCAGGGGATCTGATGCCTTCTTCTGATCGCCATGGGCATTGCACATACATAGTGCACTTACATAATGTAGTACACATTAATTCACTAAATAAATAAATAATAGAGAAGCTTCGGTGTGTTTGGTGTGATGGTGCATCTATAATCCCAGCACTTAGAAGGCAGAAGCAAGAGGATCTCAAGTTTGAGACTAGCTTGGGCTACATCAGGAGACCTTGTCTCCAAAAACTAAGGACTGGAGATGTTACAGCTCAGTGGTAGAACTCTTGCCTAGTACGAGCAATGCCCTGGTTCAATCCCCAGTGCTAAAAAGGGAGTGTTGATGTCTTCTCAGCTCCAAATCATTTTCTGTAACTCCTGGGACTGACCCAGTTGGTTGCCACCATTTGGAACTCTACCCTTTTTTTATATAGACTCTTTCTCTTCCAGGGCTAAAGTTGTTGCTGCTGATGGGCCACCTGGGAGCCCAGCCCAGGCCCTCACTCCCGTGAGGCACACAGTGAAGCTTGACAAAGATGCCCTCCTCCAGAACTATGGATTTCACATTTCTGAGAGCCTTCCCCTCACGGTTGTGGCAGTCACAGCAGGTAGGGGCTGTGGGGGAGATATGAAAGGAGTTTGGCTTGTGGGGGGAAAGTAGCTCTGGTTCTCCTCCCCTCTCTCTGTCCTATAACAAAATGCAGAAAATGCTACCCCAGGGAGCCGGAAAACTCTGACCTCATTCACTCTATCTTGGACTTTTCACTTTTTTGGTGCCAGAAGGGAGGGAGCCCCAAGAGTGCTTGCTACTCTGAGCTCTAGGTTCCTACTGGCCTTAGCTCACGACTTTGCCCTCCCAAGGCTTCCAGGCCAGTGTTAGGGACAGGGAACGTATTTGGATGAGCTGGGCCTCCTTTTTGAACCCTGCATGCTCCTAGCTGGCAAGTTTCTGGGCAGACAGTAATAGAAACTATTGATTTGTTTTCACTTGAGTCTCTGTGAAATATAGGCTGTGCCTGAGGAGAGAGGAGCAGGCTGGGAAAACTCAGTGTTTGTTTTCATACTTGAGCCTTGTATTGATGTTTGATCTGGGGCTACTGAAAATATATTAATTTTAATTTATATAGGAATACACACACACATATACACATACAAAGACACAATGAGTTCCTTAGAGAGGAATATAGTAGATTCATTGGCCAGTTCTTTTGATCTGCAAGATTTCTGCGTATTTTCTTTCTTTGGAAAGTCTCCTACCATCTATTGAAACTGATAGATAATAGGTACATTTTATAAAAGGGAAAATTAAGATCCACGTGAACCAGTGCCCCCAGGGACTCTGGCTGCCATTCCATAATACCCCTGTGACATGCTGGATCTGATCTGGGCCCCTCCTGTCCTGAGCACAAGTACTTATTTTCTGTCCAATAGGAGGCTCCGCTCATGGCAAGCTTTTCCCTGGTGATCAGATTCTCCAAATGAACAATGAGCCTGCTGAAGACCTTTCCTATGAACGCGCAGTCGATATTCTGAGGTACTAAATTGTCTTCTGTTATCCAGAGCCACATAGGTGATTGCAGAGGGAAAATGGACAACAGGAATGGTATGCCCGGTCTTGTGATTTTAGGAAGTATCCATCTGCTTTAAAGTATCATGAATGGTCTCATCTTAGAGTTCCAGCTATACATGAGACAATAGCTCCTTTATGTTGTTTTGGGTTTGGGGGTTTTTTTGAGGGGGGGCAGAGACAAGGTCTCCCTGTAGTTCCTGGAACTCACTATGTAGACCAGGCTGGCCTTGCTCTCATAGAAATCCAACTTCCTCTACCTCCCAAGTGCTGGGATTAAAGGTGTGTGCCTGCATGCTTAGCAGAAGATGACTTCTTAACAGGGGCTGTGATACTGTCTGCTGTCTGTTACTGGCCTACATAAGAACTTGGCAAGCACTGAAGGCTTGCTTATCAAACTTTCACTCTGCCCGGACACCGTGCTAGGCACTCAGGGAAATGTACTGGTAGATACTACATAAATTCTACCCTCTAAGGTTGATGGGAGCATATGCCAAAGGTTGGTCTAAGTAGATGCCAGATACGTTTGTTCTTTTTTAATCCTTTGCTATCTTGTCTTGAATGTCCTTCAGTTACAGCCTGTTTGGCATGTATGTAGTTTCATTGGAATGACACCTTTAACTCTCTTCATGGTATCATTGTGATTTAATGAACACCTCACTTTCTCCCTGGTCATTGATCTCCCAAGAGCAGGGCAGGTACCCAGAGGGTGCTCAGCTAGATGAGAGAATGTGCTTAGCACTGGAAATTGGGCACCCCACTTTAAAGACAGACAAATGTCAGTGATGGGTAAGAAAAAGACTAGTAGACATTGTGTTGGGACATACAGGCTTTGGCTTTTAAATTTTCCACTTGATACTGTTTTCATGATTTTACTATAACTAGAGAAAGAGGAGAATCAGAGTTCCGTGGGTGCTAACTTGAAAATATCCCTGCACTTCAGAATGTGCTGGCTGGCCTGGCTTTGGGTAAAGCGTGCATATCTGCGAGTGTATCCCAAGCAGCACCCACAGAGTAATAGATAACACCCACAAGGAGAAGGGGGAACTGAAGGCATGGAGCAATGTCCACTCTTGGGAAGTACAGTCTCAATGTGGAGACAGCCAAGACACACAGAATTCAAGTTAACATTCACAGAGAATCTATCATGCCAAATCCAATATTGCTTCAGGAGTGCCAGAGACTTAGTTGAGTTAGGTGGGGAGCCAGGGAAGGATTAGATGATTTCATTTAAAAGTAAGTAAGTATAGAAACTCTGAAGTTTGCTTTCCAAGTTACTGGGCTGTTTTCCCAAAGATGATCACTTCCAACAGACTCCATCAGACTCTGATGGGTCAGAAGTATTTATAACTTTATTCTTTTAAATACTTTATTATTTTATTTTGTGTGTTTGAGTGTACTGCCTGCATGTATGTAAGTGCACCCATGTTGTGCAATGCCCATGGAGGTCAGAAGAGGGCCTTGGATCCCCTGGAATTGTAGTTACAGATGGTTGTTAGCCACCATATAGGTGCTGGGAACTGAAGTTGGGTTCTCTGCAATAGCAGCCAATACTCTTAACCACTGAGCCATCTCTCCAGCCCCTATTTGTAACTTTAAACTGCAGTTTAGAACTGGGTATTTGGGTAACAGTTGTCCCCATCTGCTCCCTGAGCATCTAGTCCGGGCAAATAATCCTGTGAGGCAAAGGCAGTCTGCTTCCCAAACACTTAGAAGCCTGTGCAGATCCACACATGTACCACCCCCCAGCCCTTAGACAGGAGTGAGCAGGCACTCCAGCAAGAGAAGCAGAGAAAGGAGACTCAGACCTGGGAGGCTAAACTTAGGAGGAAGCTGCAGTTTGACCAAACAGCGAAGAGTCCAGAAGTATTTCAACCTTTTTTTTTTTTTTTCGTTTTGAGACAGGGTCTTACTATGTAACCCTAGTTGGCCTGGGCCTCACTGTGTAGATCAGGCTACCCTCAAACTCACAGAGATCTTCCTGCCTCTGCCTCCTGAGTTGCTGATATTAAAGGTCTGCACCACTATACCTGATCCTTTTTTTTTAAGCCCAGGCTGGGCCTCACACTCACAGGACCTTGAACTTTTTGATCCCCCTGCCTCAATCTCCCAAGTGCTGGGATTACAGGGATGCACTACCACTCCCAGTTTATATGAAGCTGGGAATAAACCCTGGGCATTATGCATACTAGGCAAGCACTCTACCAACTGGGCCCATCCTCAGTCCTTTCAGCAGGACCTTTCATGGTGGACACAGCTTGGGTGATGGTCCAGGCAAAATAACAAACTGATAAGGGGCAGCAGGTGTTGGGCATTTCCCTTTGCCTTGAAAAATAAGTTCTGTGAGGTAAAACCTAGATGATGGAGGGTCTTGGAGGTAAATATAGTGAGATCCAGTGTCTTTCCCAGGAGGGCAACCATAACAAGCTTCTGAGCAGGGTGTAACCTGAGGTACGCTGTGCCTCTGCTCCCTGTGTCATGCTGTACATGTGAGAATCCCAAGATGGATTGCTTGTTTAGCTTGGTGCCCAGTGTCTGAAAAGCAGTGTATATTTTTTCATGACCATTTTAAAGAGGAGAAAAACAAAGCAAAACAAAATAATCTTAACAATAACGGCAACAAAATCCTCTAATTTTTCCAAAATTTTTGAGGCCCAAATACCCTTTGGAGGTAGTGGGACCTTGCTTTTTTGTGATTTGCTTCCCAAAAGGCCTGTTTCTCACATGAAATGGAACAGAGACAGTCCCCAGACAGAAACCTCAGGCTGAGTTTTACCCAGTAAGGGAAAGACTACACTAACCTCCACTAGCTTAAATGATCATATCAAAAGAAAGCTGGTGAGCTGCTTCTCTATGGAGACAAAGCAAAGGGCAGCAAGTAGGAATCAGCTCCATGGTCCTGTCTACAAAGAGAAAGTGAGGTGTGGCAGAGATAGTCATTTGATTGCTTTTTAAATCTCTCCAATAATATGAGAGAAAAATATCTATTTTGTATCTTGATTATATGCCTAGACTCACTGCACTGACTTTGGTGCCCAAACACTGCAGACTAGTTATTTTTTTATCCTATAAACATTATCTACAGACATTCCTTTGATATCTAGTGAGATGTTTAGCCTGCATGTTTTAATAGCAAACTAACTTACCTATGTTTTTGCCATGTGTTCTTTAAAACTTATCTTTGGACATAAAGCTAGCCAGTTTGAATGAGTTCACCATCATATGAGCCTAAAGGAAGAGCTCCAATTTAGTGGCTGCTGTGTGGACAGATAGCAGAGGTGGGTATCTGAAGACACCTTGGAGGTGGAAGGAGCACTCTGCACCAGTTCAAGCTCCTTTGTGGAGGGTGATGCTTTCCCTGGGGTCCTTCTTAGCTTTGCTAAGCCAAAGAGGCCTTTCGAAACAGTGCCAGTCTTACACACACGCACGTACACACGCAGAGAAATGACTGGATGTTCTCTTTTTTTCAGGGAAACTGAAGATCCTCTTTCAGTCACAGTTGTTCGCTGCACCTTGGTAAATCTCTTTGTTCTATCTATTATTTTCACCCTTCCTGGCCCCAAGACTCTGAACTCCTTGAAGATATTCCTCATAAACTAAGTAGGAGAGGCAGGGGGTAGAGGGTGGCTCATGCCAGGCAGTGGATGGCCAATGTGGCCTGAAGACCTCCTAGCCACAGATGCTATAGAGGAAGCACATGTGGTCCAGGCCTTGGGGATGTATGTGGAGTGGGCTAATGGGGAGAACATCAAACCAGGGGTTTCCAGACAGGCTATATGGGATGACTGTGGGCAAGTGGCTGCCTCCAGGCTTCACTTTTGTTAAATAGAGAGAATGTCAGAACCTGCCTTGTCTGTCTGATGGATTATCCTGAGGACCAAATGAAGAGTTGAGTGTGACAGTGTTTTATCAGCCAAGGTCTCTTTATGCATTATACAGGGAAAAGCACAGGATCCAGTTTTTTTGTTTTGTTTGTTTTTGTTTTGGGTATTTTTGAGACAGGGTCTCCCTGCAGCCCTCAACTGGCCTTGAACTCACAAAGATCTGCCTGCCTCTGCAGTGCTGGGACCAAAGGCGTGCACCACCACGCCCTGCCAGGATCAAGTTTTAAGAGCAAAATGACCAAGGAGGAAACAGTGCCAAATAATTCTGTTTGACTACAAATAGACCAAAAAAGGGAAGAATGGAGAAACAATATAAATAATTTTGATAATACATTTAATAATCTAATCTAATGACCACACACCAGATTACCAACAAAATGCAATAATCTCCTCCAATTAAAACCAATTAAAAAATTATATATATATATGCCAGGTTTGGTGGCATACACCTTTAATCCCAGCACTTGGGAGGCAGTGGCAAGCAGATCTCTGTGAATTGGAGGCCAGCCTGGTCTGTATAGTGAGTTCCAGGCCAGCCAGGGCTACAGAAAGACCCTGTCTCAAAAAACAGAAACAACAAAATAAACAGACATCATACAGGACTGGGTGTGGTGGCTCACCCTTGTAATCCCAGCATTCAAGAGGCTGAGGAAGGAGGATCAAAAGTTTGGGGCCAGCCTGGGCTACATAGCAAGCTCCAGACCAGCCTAGGCTATATATGAGATCCTGCTTCCAAAAAAAATTACACAAGTGAAACAAAACCAAAATTTAAAAAATACTGTGTAGGTCCCTTTCCCTGAAATTAATTTAAAATAGAAACTAATAACCATCAAAAACATTAATTAAAGCTACCTAGTCATTTTGAAATAAAAATGCAGTTTCCTCATTAAAGATAGAGTCCAATGACAAGAGAAACTCTTAGGAAATAATTTAAGAACATTTAGGAAATGATTAAAAATTAGAATAGTGCTTCTTAAAATTTATTATATGGTTTTTAAGCTATGCTCAAGATAAAATTCATAGTCTACTATCTTAAAAGGAAATAAATCAATTAAATATTCAGTGCAAAGAAGTTGGAAAAATTATTAAAACTAATAAGATATCCAGGTATGCTTATAATCCCCAGTAATTGGCAGGCAGAGGTAGGAAGATCAGGAGTTCAAGGTCAGCCTCAACTACATAGCCAGATGGAGGCTACGTGAGATCCTGCCTCAGTAAACCAAAAAAAATAACTAATAGGATTAAAGAAGATAGTCTAAATCGAAATCTCCACCTTCCAGTCGTTCCCCTGCCTCTGTCTCCTGAGTACTGGTATTTCAGGTGTGTCACTGCACTCAGCTTCACCGAGTAGCTAGGAAACATACAGTCTCATCACATACCATATGATGTTATAGGATCTGAATTAAAAAAGAAACGATAGGGCCAGTGAGATGACTCAGGAGGTGAAGGAGCACGCTGCCAAGCCTGACTACCTGAGTTCAATCCCTGGGATCTAGATGGTGGAAGGGGAGAACCAACTCCTGTAAGTCCTTCACCGACCTGTACATGCTCACTGTGGTATGCACATGCCCACACACACACACACGTGTACACATGCACACACACACACGTGTACACATGCACACACACACACGTGTACACACACACACACACGTGTACACATGCGCACACACACACAGACATGCACAGACATACACAGACACACAAAAACTAAATAAATGTAATAAAAAGTTATAAAGATAGGGGCTGGAGAGATGGCTCAGTGATTCAGCAATTAAGAGCACTGACTGCTCTTACAGAGGACCCCGGTTCAATTCCCAGCACCCACATGGCGTCTACGAACCATCCTTCACTCCAGTTCCAGGGGAATCCGAAGCCGTCTTCTGACCTCCGCGGCATTGCACAACACGGGTGCACTCACATAAATGCAGGCAATACACTCATAAAATTAAAAAAATAAAAAATAAAAAAGTTGTAAAGATAAATAAAAATGTAAACAATATAGGTGGGTGACTATCAGATCACCCATAGGCTGTAGAATGTAGAAAGATTTCCTGTGTGTAGGAGAGAGGAAGATGTGTAATGAATGAAACAGCTTATGTGAAAATACCTTTCTCTGGTCCAAATACTCTACAAATGAAGATCTGGTCTTTTCTCCTTGTTCAACAAGTGTTATCTTTTATTCTTATTTCTTGGGAAGAATAGGGAAAAAATGCCACCTAATTAGGATTAAGATGTTTGCCATATCTTACAGGCTAAGTGTTTTATACACAATAAATGGAGGCTTTTCTTTTCTAACCCAAGCTTGACTATGAAATAACACAAAACCAATATAAAAACAAAGACAGCTAATCAGTAACACATGTGTTAAGCCATTCTTTTTATTTAGCTTTAACAGTTCAGTGGAGGCATCTTAATCTTAATTAGGTGAGTTTTTTTTTCTATAGCATTTCTGTGAAATAAAATAAAGTACTTGTTATGTAAGGCAGGAAACAGCATATAGCTGCCTCTTTAAAACTGAAAAGTAGGGGCGGGACAGATGGCTCAGAGGTTAAGAGCACTAGCTGCTCTTGCAGAGGACCCAGGTTCAGTTCTCAGTACCTACATGGTGACTAATAACTGTAACTCCAGTTCTAGGGGATCCGACACCTTCTTCTGACCTCCATAAGTTTTGCATACATGTGGCATACTTATATGTGGGCAAAACATATACATAAAAATAAATAGAAATTGAAAAAAATTGAAAAGTAGTGGGAGATGAAAATTTCTGTGTTCCAATACCAATTCCTGAGATTCCCACAAGATTTCCAGACAGAATGTGAAGACCATCCCATGCTGTGCTGTGGAGGACCTGCAGAAGAGCCAGTTTCTGGCCACCAGGGCCCTGGGGAAGTGCCCTAAACATTGACTGATTTGAACGTAGGCCTCCACCAGAAATGTTCGCAGCATTTTATAGACATTGTGACCTGGTCAGGCATACCTTGCTTCACCAGGAAGGCGTACCGTGGTCATAGTTGATTCTTGGGGTTCTCAAATGATTGAAATTGATTAGGAATTATAAATCCAAAGCTGGAGCATTCATTACTATTTCTCTAGAACATAGAATTTTATGGAAGAACTCTATTCTGGCTTAATTTTGCAAATCTGCATTTGTGTATAGCAATTACATGAATGATTTTAATGATATTAATACTATTAGTTAACATGACCAGAAGAAAATCCTCCAGGGCAGATAGACTTTTCTCCCTTTCGCACATGTGGCAGCTATGGCCTCACATGCATGTCTGGAGTTAAATGGGGCTGGGTTGTTTTCTAGGGAGTTAGACTTTAAAACCCACACTGTTTAAAATGATGCTGTTTTATAAACCTCCTTTGAGCCTATTGTTTTGATTAAATGATACTGAGTAACCCCAGGTAGGAGTACTGTAAAAAGATGTAGAGATGTTTTTCAACCAGTCCTTTTCAAGGCCCTTTAAAGCATTAACACTGCAGCAAAAACAGGTTTTATCAGTGAACCCAGGAAGGGCTCAGAAGTCCTAGGATAATGGTAGTTCATATCCTCTTAAATTGTCGCTTTAAAACATCAGTTTACCCAAGTTCACTTGGGAAAGTCATTTGCAGTATGCTGCGGATGCCAAGATACCTGGCTAGAGGTGCTGACGTTCAGGTACACAGTATAAGCACCACCCTGGGGCCCACGAATTGGGTATTTCCGTGACATGATATTGCATTCATTCTCAAAGCATCCAGTTTCATGGTTGGGTAAGGTTTCATGTGTGATCTTCTTCCCTGGGATTCCCACTGACTATTCTACCTCAAAATAAACCTACCTTGTCTGAAACAGCTTTTCTAACATTGGGCAGTGTGGCCTTTCTGTCTACGAGCTGAACACTTGTTCCTTGTAGATGTTTTTTGTGACGTCTCACTTCCCTGATGGTTTTCTGAATAGATTCTAATTTTGTAGTGACCCTTGCAAATGGCGGTATCCAGAAAGGAAGAGAATTCCACCAACAGTCAGAAATGAAGGGTCACTCCTGATACACACCAAGGATGCTAGTGGAGCCCAAGATTGGATTAACATTTGAGCAAGGCCAATCACATTCTTGGCTTGGGTGAAACTTGTGGTCAATTAAATACCAAGCTGGTTTTCAAATGAATAGTTTCTAAGCCAAGTCCCCCCAGTCCCCTGCTTATGCAATTGATTTTTTTTCAATCCTCAGAGCTGCTCTTCCCATTAATCCCTGTCAAGTCATGCTGCCTTGGCCCAGTGTCTTGGCCTGCTGTGACTTATAGTGAGGTTGAAAGGCTTATTTGTACAGTCTCCAGCTTTAATCAAGGAACCTCCTCTTCTCAAGTCTCCCTCACTTATTCTTTTTTCTCTAACATGACCCAGATCGGAGCCTGACTCTTGAAGGAGTGCCCTCCCTAGCATGAGAAACGAGCTGCCTCCTGCAGGTCCTGCTTTTTCTGTGTCTCTTTGGCTCTGTCCTCATCAATTCCTCTTCTGAATGTTCAGGGTGGTGCTGGCTGTTTCTGTTGCTTTGAACTCTGGCCCTACTGTGTTCCCTTCAGCTCTTGGCAGCCCTGTCCCTCTGCACCCTCTTGCTTCTGTTCTTGAGATTTCCCAGCCTTTGACTCACAGCTTCTTTTGGTCCTCAAGGTTCTTGCGCTGCTATTTTAGATTTCTGGTTTCTTGATCTTTCCTTCCAGTTTCTGATGCTTGAGATCTGATGACATCCTGCAGTTCTGTATCACCCATAAATACTTTCTGTCTTTCACCCAAGGCATTGCTAAGCATCACTGATACTAAGCCAGAGAAGCCTGAATTACTTAGAAAAAAATCAGGGCTATTGGGCTGGGGATGTAGTTGAGTGGTAGATACTTAGTCTAACATGAGCAAGGCCTTGGGTTTGATCCCCAGTACTAGAAAAGGAAAGGAGAAGAGAGGAGAGGATGAAGGAAAAAAGAGGAGAAGAGAGGAGAGGGGAGGGGAGGGGAGGGGAGGGGAGAAGAGAGGAAAGGGAAGGGAAGGGAGAAAAGACAGAACTATTTTGAGTGCAGATCAATCAGCATTGAATCCACCTAATGGCTCTGCATCTGGCCTTCTCCACAGGGGGATTATGGGAGAGATTATCAAATGCTTTGCAAGAATGAAAGAACACTGCTATATCCACAGGACCCTGGCCTGCCAATCTAGAATGCTACCTCCAAAAGAAAAATGAACTTGGTTGGCTCTGGCTTGTTCTTGGTAACTCCGTATTGGTCGTTAGTGATCCCTGTCGACTGTTCTTTGGTCAGCTCTCATCTCTGATTTTACCAAGAATTAATCACAGGCTTACCAGTGTGTGTTTTCTGGAATATTCCATGTTTATTGTGGGAAACTTGATATTTGGCCATCTATAGTCTCTAAAGATCACTTCCTTACTCTGATCTTGGGCAGTGCTGACTGTTAACATATTGTAGTTCTGTGAGCCTCCTAGACTCACCTGAATGAGTCTTGGACTCATTCAAAGCAGGCTATTTTCATCAATAATTTTGGATTCTAACTTCTTTTTTCCTATTTCCTTTATTTCTTCCAATTGGAAAACCAAGAATTTTCACAGGTGTGTCTCTTCCCTTGAAACAGTGCTGTGCTTCCCTCTCTGCTGAAGTTTCTCTCATTGCTGTAACTATTGTGGTTTGAAAGCAAGCTGCATCTTCAAGGTGCTAAATCACAGTTGTATATCCTGTCACATCAAGTAAAATCACAGTCATCTTCTTGCCTTAGAATTTCAGGGTCATTTGTTCATTTCATGTGCTTCCTGGCATCGATGTGTTGAGGTTTAAGTCTATGAGCATTGCTTCCAGCAAGGTCCCATCGTTAATATGTATCGCTTCCTTCAGCTACTCATAGCATGGCTCAGAGCTCCTTCTTAGGCCTCTTACTCATATAGACATTCTAGAGGCTGGCCTTAAAGACCGTCTAGAGTGACCAGGGAAACATGGGATGCGAGGTGGGAAATAGTGTACTGGGCCAGGAAGACTACATCCTGTTGGTCTAGTTCACATAAAAACTACTCACGTACCATAATTTGGCCTGATATGATCTAGTCCAAGGGTTTGCCATACCAACTGATGATGAATTTTCTATGTTTGGAGAGAGTATCACAAGATAAGAGTCAAGAGGGGCCAGTGACGAGCCACAGAGGCCACAGCTCCAGGGAGCCCTGTCTAATCCCACATGGAAAGGCTGAAGTCCAGAGAAGGGAAGGACCAGTCAGAGTCACACAATTATTTTTTAAGGTTTATTTTACTTATGAGCCTGTGTGTACCCCCCCATATGTGTATGTGTGAGATATGCACTTGTATGGGTAAGTATGCATGCCCAAAGGAGAGCATCAAATCAGGATACCTGGCTTATTGCCTGGTGCTGGGATCTGAACTCTGGTCCCCATGATTTCATGATTGCTCAGCAAGTACTCTTAACTGTTGAGCCATCTCTCCAGGCCCTGTTTTGTTTAACACACACACACATACACACACACACACACACACACACACACACACACACGCACACACATGCACACACACTTTTGTTTTCTTTCATATGAATTTTTTGAAGTAGTTCTCACAACTCTTGAGGTAGTAGAACATGGGTTGGAATTCAGGTCTTCTCTTCACAGGCCTGTCCTTTTTGTCTTCAGTATAGTACTGCTATTTTGAAATGTCCAGCTGTTCAGACATGTAAGAACATAATCTATTTTGGAATCCCTAGATTCTGCTAAAAGAAATCTTTAAATGGAAGCCGGGCATGGTAGCACATGCCTTTAATCCCAGCACTTGAGAGGCAGAGACAGATGAATCTCTGTGAGTTCAAGGCCAGCCTGGTCTACATAGTGAGTTCCTGGCCAGCTGGGGCTATAGGGAGACCCTGTCTCAAAAAGACCAAAAGAAAAAAGAAATCTTTAAATGGGATATCCTCCTTTCATGTAGGTTTTAGTTGAATCCACAACAGCTGTCAGATTTTCTTTAAGAAATGAGAAGAGGGCTGGAGAGATGGCTTAGTGGTTAAGAGCACTGACTGCTCTTGCAGAGGACCTGGGCTCAATTCCCAACACCCACATGACAGCTATGAACCGTCCTTAACTCCAGTTCCAGGGGAATCCATAGCCCCCTTCTGACCTCCGTGGCATTGCATGACATGGGTGCACTCACATACATGCAGGCAACACACTCATACACATAAAATAAAAGTGATAAATTAAATTTTTAAAAAAAGGAAAATGAGAAGCTGTGCATGGCTTTTTATGAATGTGTTGTATGAAAGTATGCCATGTTAATATTTTTCAGGGCATCCCCAAATCATCCTTCTTGACTGAAGAGAAGAGGGCCCGGTTAAAGAGCAACCCTGTGAAGGTGCACTTTGCTGAGGAAGTGCTTGTCAGTGGACATAGTCAGGTATGTCAATAGTCAGGAATGGAAGTTGCTCTTGTTGAAGCTGGTGAGTGCTCTTCTAACATGGACACGCCTCCCCAAAACTCTGGAACCCTCAGAGAGGATGCAGGGGGATCACCATGCATTTGCTGGAAGCTTTATGCATCCCCTCCTTCCTGCAGACCATGGACAAGGAGGCTGGTGAGGCTTGGGGTATGGGTGGGATGAGAGAGAAGCCCTGGGTGTAGCAGCTGTCTGTTACTCAGCAACTCCATTTTTCTGCTCACGAAATTCCTACAAATTCTAGTAGTTAACTTCCCATTATGGAAGGTGACATATTGCTAATAGTGATGAATGGTCATTGGGATGGCTTTGTTTTTGAGGAGCTCAGCATCTTACTAAACCTCTATTATGTGCCCCTAAATTTTTTCTGTGCCTAATCTGTAGTCATCACAATATCCTGAAAAGGAGATATTTTAACAAAAGTGGAAGCAGAGGCTTACAGACATTAAGAGAATTAACCGCTAAGATCATAAAGTCAGGAGCCTGGGTCTGCGTGACTTCATTTCTTGTTTTCTTCTACACATGCTGTCTAGTCCTTTTTGATACAGAGAGATCTAAGTTGATGGGAGAAGGTTAGGGGTATGGTGTCAGAACACATATTTTTAAAGGGAAGTGTTAGTCTAGAGAGTGATGGTTTGTTTGTTTATTTATTTATCTAATGTGTATGAGTGTTACACCTGCATGTATATAAATGTACTCATGTTGTGCAGTGCCTCAGGAGGCCAGAAGATGGTGTTGGATCCCCTGGAACTGGAGTTAAGGATGGTTGTTAACTGCCATGAGGGTGCTGGGATTCAAACCCAGGTCTTCTGCAAGAACAGCCAGTGCTCTTAACTGCTGAGCCAACTCTCCAGCCCAATATTGATTTTTTTTTAATGAAGATTGCTGGATAAAAAGTACATTTATGCACAATTTATACAATGGCCTGTTACTGTTGCCATTCTGAATTCACCAATAAATATTAGATTTTTTTTTTTTAACATTCAAGTCAAAACTTCTTGTCATCCAGAGAAATGGGGGGATGGAGTCCATGGCTATTTAAACAAAGGATCCAGCTGACCTGATCCACAAATGCAGAGCCTTTATCTTCTCTCTGTCCTGTTGTTTGTCAGTACATACCCCTAATTAGACCTGAAAGAGAAAGATAATTTTTTTCAGGAAGGGTCCAATTGGAGGCCTGATATATCCATGAGAATAAGCCTGTGATGCTGCCAGTCAGCAATGATTTGAATCTCTGCGTGCCTATGCTTGTGAACATGAACTGAACCTCTTTGCAGATTCAATTAAGATTCGACATGTGTATTTACTTGATCTTAGCCCAAAAGACCAAGAACTGTAGTGTGGTGATGAGCAGTGCGGGGTGAGAACCAGCCCTGAACAGTAATAATGAAGGCACCTCAGGTGTGGACCAGGTCACTTGGACAATCATTTGTTGAAATGGCTGCACTCCCTCATTCACTGGTGTCTGTCATGAAAAGACCAAAGAAGGACAAGTTTTGAGACCCAAACTGGCTACTGAACTGGTTCAAAGTTTTGGTGGGAATGGGCAGTTTAGAAGAACAGGGCTTTCCAAAGACTTGCAAGTTTGGGCTTCAAAGGGAATTTATGAGCATCTCTGCACCAGCCACCCATGGTAGAGACAGCAAAGCCAGTGAGAATTCATCACTGTGACCTGCCTCTTCATCCTCTCAAGCATTTAAAAGATAACTCGGATTAAAGTTTTCCTTCCCCTTGAAAAATGATAAGGCAGCTTTGAGGGCATACATCACTCTAGAAGAATCTAGAAGAAAACCCAGCCTTGGAAATGGGTCTGACTTTGCTCACAGTTAAAGAAATGGAAAGGGAGTTGGGTGTGGTGGTGCACACCTTTAGTCCTAGCACTCAGGGAGGCAGAGGCAGGTGGATCTCTGTGAGTTCAAGGCCAGCCTGGTCTACTTAGTGAGTTTCAGGCCAGCTGGGGCTAGAGGGAGACCCTGTCTCAAGAAAAAAAAACAAAAAAAAAACAAAAAAGAAAATATTACAAAGTGAAGCTGGTAAGCTGCCAGTTCATTAGTAAACAAGTACAAGTTATGATCAGGTACTAACTGGGGGCTTTGTAAAGGAGGTGATAACTTTTGGGAGTTGGAAAAGGGCACAACTTAATGACTCTCATGAAATATAGCTGAGACATCTCACTTCTTTAAATTTAGAATATAAAGAAATTTAAATGTAAGAAACCCATATACTAAATGAAATCTATAGTATTTTAAATAGCTAAAAAATAGAAAATGCTAAATGTCTAGAATAGAGGACTGGTTATATTAGTTCTAATATTTCAATTCAATAGAATATTTTAAAGCTTTTGAAATTATAAATGTTAAGCCTACATAAAAATTACATCTGTATTGGCTTTAAACATAGAAAATATGTATTGGATTAAAAAAAGAATATCTATTTTTTGCAGCTCTCTAAAATCTATGTACAAATGTAGATAAAAATTGGAAGAAACCTTAAAAGACAGTAAATTTTATTTATTGTTTTTATTTTATGTGTATGTGTGTATTACCTGCATGTAGGTAAGTGCACCCACGTCATGCAGTGCCCATGGAGGTCAGAAGAGGCTGTCGGATCCCCTGGAACTGGAGTTACGGACAGTTGTTAGCTGCCATGTGGGTGCTGGGATTTGAACCCGGGTCTTCTGCAAGAACAATCAATGTTCTTAACTGCTGAGCCATCTCTCCAGCCCCTTGGCTGTATTTTTTTAATAAACCATTTTGTTGTTGTTTTTGAGACAGGGTCTTTCTGTAGCCCCAGCTGGCCCAGAACTATGTAGACCAGGCTGGCCTCCATCTCACAGAGATCCACCCGCCTCTGCCTCTCAAGTGCTGGATTAAAGGTGTGTGCCATCACACTCGGCTTTATAAACCTTTTTCGATCACAAATTATAGCAGACCAAGGAAAAATTCCCACATGGGAAATACAAAGTAAGATTTCTAAACACCTAGAGGCAGAGAAGCTGAGGTGGCAACAGGGGAGCAGTTGGAAATCTCTCATCCTGGTTGAGTATGAATTGATATCGGAGTGTGACTGTATCCCCTTTCCTACAAAAATGAAAATACTGTGGCTTAAAAAAAAAAGTTAAACCGAGCCATGATATTGTATTACTTAGAAGACATTTACATTTAGAAGACTCTGGATTCTCACCTGGAAAATGCTTCCTGTGATTTGAGAAAAAGATAATCAACTTCTTTATCCAGCTGAGCTTTCTACCTGGACTCCCCATAGAGACACATGCTGGGAGTAGTTCTGTTTCAGATCCTGGGAACTTGAGAACTTCTCACTGGTTGTAGAGGATGTCAGTCCTAGAGACCCATTTTACCTTCAGCTACACCCAGTGGTTACTTTTTAATGAGAGCAGATGTGGCAGATCCAGGAACAGGAAGAGCAGCGTGTCAGGGACACAACATGTTCTTGTATTTTCCAGGGGAACTCTCTGCTGTGTATGCCCAATGTGCTCAAGGTATACTTGGAGAATGGACAGACCAAAGCTTTCAAGTTTGAGGCAAACACAACTGTGAAGGTACTAAGCATAAACTTGAACCTTTCTTTCTCAGGAGATGATATTGGCTCAAAGGACCCCCAGACTCTTTGCCCTCTATCTGCCTTCGGTGGTCCCATACCTACCTGTGCCCACCACAGTCTGAATACTGTGACAAGATAAGCGCTGTGTTACCTCAGGTAGTTCATGGCCACCCAGTAAGATGCTGTTTTTATCACTTCCTGGAGGGGAGAGAATTAGGACTCAGAGAGGCAAAGTGGCTTGTCCAAGGTCATTTTGTACCTCCTAAGCCTTCACTCTTAACCACCACGCTTCTCTGCCCCTTGTCTGTGCTTCCACCTACGAAGTAAACTGTACCCCTAAGGGTGGCCATTTTAGTTACTAGAGTAACTTAAAATACATACTCTAATGCTGAATAAACTCCTCACTTGAGGTGCTCTGAGGGGTTACTGAGCCGAATAAAGGACTGCAGGAGCATACAGTCGAGTTGAGGGAGGGTGTGCATTCCAGAAACTCCCAGTAGTCCAGGGCAGGATGAATGAAACTATAAAAGGCTAGATAAGGATGCTCCACCCAGTGCACATCTCCCCCATGCCAGCACCACATCTGTCAATGCAAGGGAAGGATGCTGCACCTGAGTTCAGCTGTGAAGGGTGATTTCAACAAGGGCAGACAAGGGATGGGGCAGTTTGAGGATGAGGTATACAGCAGTCCAAGGGAGTCACATGAACCAGTGCAGAGAGCAGGAAGACAGCCATTGTCCAGTGAATAGTGAGGGAAGCATGCAGCAAGACTGCTTTCTGAGGGGAAGCAAAGGGAGTGGCCATACAGGGCCTCCAGTGCCTGCCAGCACTATCCATAGACAGAGAGATGCTTCTGATAGTTCTTGAACAAAGGAAGAAGAGGTGTCAGAGTGAGGTCACGGTGAGGAAGCCAACCATGCATTTTGTTAAAACATTCAAAACCATGGAAGGAGCTGGAGAGATGGTTCGGTGGTTAAGAACACTGGTTGCTCTTGCAGAGGGCCCAAGTTTGGTTCCCAGCACCCACATGGCAGTCAACAACTGTCTATAACTCCAGTCCAGGGGATTCAAAGCCCTCTTCTGGCTTCTGTGGGCATCGAATGTCATGAGTGCACTTATATACATGTAGGCAAAACACACGCATAAAATAAAAATAAATAAATCTAAAATGTATTTAAAAACCATGGAGGATTAGATATGGAGCCTTCAGGGTCTGAGGATAGAACAGGTGCTGGTGGGGTGATGCTATTATAGGTTATAGGCAGTAGCCAAGACACATACACATATGTGCACACGTGCACATGTATATATGCACACAAGGGCCACACCTAATATTTCTATCTGGAAACTTCCTTTGGCAATTCCCCACACTGCTCCAAATGTCCTGCCCTGTTCCTTCCTTAGTGAAACTTAGGAGAAGCCAGAGAAAGCCCTTTGGAACCCAGGAAGCGCCAAGCCCAGAGGAGAAACAGGAGAAGTGGATGTGTTTCATTCATTCACTCTGCTGGGAACTTCCTGGTATACACTCTGATTTAATGTCTCAATAACCTTGTGAGGTGACTGACCAGTGTTGGCCCCACTTTGCTGGTAGGAAATGGGCCCAAGAGGTCTCCAACTTGCCACAGTCTGTTGACATATAACTGACTTCAAGCATGCGGTTTCTAAACTGGATTGGAGCTTACCTCTTCTCTGTTATTCTGCTTTGAATGGAAGTTTTACAAGTGAATTAGGCAGGGTTCTACTTCCGTCATCTTTGATCAAGGTGGAGTGGAATGGAGGGTAGATTAAGTTCAAGTGAGTCCTCACTGGCAGCCAAAAATACCTTGAGAGGATTTACAGTAAAAGTTCGTATCACAGAGGAACTAAGAAGACAGAGTTAGGACAGCGAACAAAGACTTAGCAGTATAATATTGGCTAATCTTACTTATCTGTAGCAGTCAAATTTTATAAAGCAAATCTTTTAGCTCTTTTTAATAGGGAAAGTGGTGGAGATAAACAAATCCTGCCAGGAAAAAAAGGGAAAGCCACTTCAACTCAGCAGGGACTTCCCTTTCCCTCTCCCTTCACAAAGGAAGAAAGCTCTTGCATCAGAAAATCTTCTTCTTGGGGCAAGATGTAGCTCAGTTGGTAGAGTTCCTGCCTAGCTTGCATGAAGCCCTGACTTCAGTCTCCAGCACCAAGCCTATAACCCCAGCACTCAAGAGGTAGAGGTGGAGGTGGAGGCAGGAGGATCAGAAGTTCATGATTATCTTTGGCTACATATCAAGTTTGAGGTCAGTCTGGACTACATGAGACCCTAACTAACCCCCCCCCCCAAAAAAAAACCTCAAAACAAAAACAACCTTTCTCCAGATTAAAGAAAATGTCATTTAAAACATTGAATGTTGGGTTAGTCATTTCTGTGTCACTTGACTTCTGCTGATACAGAAATCATTTGCTCAGGGTCACCTTCTTAGCTGGGGTAACAATAAGGTACTGTGGACTTAGGACCATGAAAGGTAGACAGAAGTGATGTGGTTCAGGGTCAGGGGAGAGACTAGAGCTTCCAGGTGGGTGGAAAGGAAGGGTTTCCAGGAAATGATGGACAGCGTAGCAGATGTGGAAAGATGGACAGGCTTTTGACAGCAGTGGATTGGGGATGGCGTGGAATGCCTCTAGGCATGGGGAAAACACCAACAAAGACCTAGAGAGGGGCAAGTTTGCCACATGTTTGAGATTTGAGAGCAGGGTGCATTGGCAAAAGTACCAGAAGATAGAGTGGGAAGCTAGGTATGGTGGTAAACAGCTGTAGTCCTCAAAAGGCTGAGGCAGGAAGATCTTGATTTTGAGGTCACCCTGGGCTACAGAGTAAGACCGTTTCTTTCCTTTCGTTTGTCTGTTTGTTTTGGGATAGGGTCTCACTGAAAGCCCAGCAGGCCTGGAACTCCTTATTTAGAACAAGCCGACCTTGGTTTCAGAGATCTGCTGCCTCTGCCTCCTGAGTGCTTGGATTAAAGGTGTGTGCCACCATACCCAGCTTCCTTCTTTTTTAAAAAAGAGTTTATTTTTATTATTTTAAATTATGGATATTTGTTTTTGTGGGGATATACATGTGCATGCGGGTGCCCCCGGAGACCAGAGGCATTGGAACTCTCAGCAACTAGAGTTACAGCAGTTATGAGCCACCCAATGTGGGTACTAGGAACTGAACTCAGGTCCACTGGCAGAATAGAACGTGCCCTTAATTGTTGAGCCATCTCTCCATCTGCATCATCTCTCCAGCCCAGACACTAAAAGAAAAAAAGATAAAGTGGAAGGGAGTGGGTTGGGTTAGCACTTGATGCTTCAGTGTTTATTAAACTGTGTTTGGATTTTGGCCAGTTGAATGCTGGGGAACCACCGAATGTTCTTGAGCAAGGGAGGACCTGACAGATAGAAGCTCAGCCAAGTTGCTCTAGGTCAGCATTCAGCAAATTTTTTCTGGTAAAAGGCCAGATAGCAAATGTTTTAGGTTTCGTGGATTGTCGGGACTCTGTTGTAGTTACTCAACTTTGCCTTCATAGTGACTGGCAGGGCTTTGTTCCCATGAAACTTTAATGACAAAAATCAGCAGTAGACTGAATTTGTCACATGGGATGTGGTTTGCCAAACTGGTCTGGATATAAGGTGGAGGATTTCTGAGTGGCAGGAGGGTCCATCGGAGACCACTCTGCTAAGACAGGAGAAACATATGGGCTCAAGGCAAGGTAGGCGTGAGAGAAAGGACAGGCAGAGTCAAGAGGCAGGTTTGCCAGACAGTCAATAACCAATAATATGGGCCAGCAAGTTGGCTCAGTGGACATGGGTACTTGCCGCCAAACCCAACTACCTGAGTGCAATCCCTAGGATCCACATGGTGGAAGGAGAGGATGGATTCATGCATGTCATCTTCTGACTGCCTCAAGTGCGCTATGGCATGTGAGCACCCACACATATACACACATGCACATGAAATGAGTGAATAATATTTAACAAAAAATTTTAAATCAATATTTCAGTTTTCAGAAAATTCAGCAGTTGGCCTGCAGTAATAAAAGAGTAAAAGTCCATATTTCACAATTGTATAGTTGAGAGAAAGAAGCTTTCCATCACATTGAGCACAATGCCTGGCACACAGTAGGTGCAGAATTAATGCTGTTGAGTTGCAGAAGCAGATAGTCTCTTCAGGACTTAGTCACTGGTTAGTTATGGAGGTGATAGGACCAAGTCACATTTCGATATAATGACCATGCAAGGCCTCTCTGAAGAGGCAACATGTGAGCTGAAACTTGGGAGAGAAACAGTCTTATGAAGAGTAATGGGAAAAGAGTATATCAGAAGGAACTGCATGTGTGAGTGACTGAGGCATTCATGATGACAGAGGGCCACTGGAGGGAAAGAGAAGTGCAGCCTGGCAGCCATTGTGCCAAAGCACAGCATTAGCTAGCATTCCTTCCTGTCAGCTGCCCTGATAATATAGGCATCCTTAGCCTCCATTTCACAGAGGAAGAAATTAAAGTCAATTTCTTCTAGTCACATGTAGGATAGTTAGTGGGAGTCTGTCTAGGAAATGGTGATGGTATAGCCTGGCAACTCCAGAGAGATTATGGATCCACAGACCCTGAGAAAAGAGACAGAAGTCTCCCCTGAGTGGCTTCAACCTTCCAAGAAAAGCAAGAGAGATTGGTGCTGTGGGTGGTGCAGGAGCCTGGGGAGGAGAACAGTGGGGCAGGGCTTTGAGGGCCCACCATGAGAACTGGAGTCCTGTGTGCATTAGCAGTGGACCCTGCAGCTCCAGCTTCTCCTTCCCAGATGTTCTGGGGGAGTGCTGAGAAGGCCAGGGAAGTCCTCTTGCTTATCAGGTAACCCCTCTGCCTTTGCTGCCAGGACATCATCCTCACTGTGAAGGAGAAGCTGTCCATCCGAAGTATTGAATACTTTGCACTGGCCCTAGAGGAGCAGTACAGCATCTCCCGCCTGCATCTGCTGCATGAGGAGGAGCTCATCCAGCAGGTAGGAGAACCCACCCCAGGCTCCAGGGAGGCCTGGATAGCAGGCCAGGTCCTCAGCTACCTTTGGAGCCAGAGCTCAGTGCACACACAAGTTGAATGCACTTGTACTCTCTCAGCCTGGGGATGACAGGGTGAGATTCAAGTCTGATCTGTATCTGATCCTATGAGGTAGGCAGGGGCATGGCTCCAAGATGCTCATCTCATAGATGTGGAGATAGAGGCTAAGAGAAGTCAGGTGATTTTCCCTAGCCACATGGCTGATAGAGTCCCAGTTTTTTGCTTCCACCTTGTTCTGGTTTTTTCTCCATTGCTGTGACAAAACACTCTGACCACTACCAACTTGGGGAAGAAAGGGTTTATTTAGCTTACATCTCCCAGGTCATAGTTCATCAGGGAGCCCAAGGTAGGAGCTCAGGGCAGGAACCTGGAAGCAGGAGCTGGAGCACAGGCCATGGAGGAATGCTGCTTACTGGCTTGCTCCCCTAGCCCCTGCTCAGTCTGCTTTCTTATGCAACACAGGACCCCCTGCCCAGGGGTGGCACCACCCACAGTGGGCTGGGCTCTCCCACATCACTCATCAAAAAGATGCCCCTCAGATATGGCCACAGGCCAGTTCAATAGAGACAGTCCCCCAGTTGAGGCTCCCTCAACCGAGGTGTGTCAAGCTGACACTAAAGCTATCCAGCACACACCTCTGCTGAACTTTCCTGGCACCTGCTGCCTCATAGATGCTAGGGGAGGGGCATTGGTTGCTGTGTCCCAGACCCTTTTTGTGGTACTAGCCCCACTGAATTGACCCCAGATGATAGGAAAGGCCAAACAGCCAATCTGCCTGTGCCACCCACTCATTCAGACATTCAGGAAGTTGTATTGACTTTTAAAGTCAAGCACAGGTCACTTTAACAAATCATTGTAAGGTGTGGACTATAGAAAGATCAGTAGATGTTCAACAGTTGGAAAAGGGACAGGCAGGAAAGCCACTCAGCCTTCCTCATCTCAAAGGAGTTATGACCCTATCGCTCACCTAATGAAAGATTTGCTTCTTGCAAACTCTTTATAAGCGTTTGCATTTGCATTTGGAAATACAATCAAATTAAATCCCCCAAAATCATTTTTTAAAAAGTGAGGTGGGCCAGGTATGGTGGCATTTAATCCCAGCATTTAATCCCAGCACTCAGGAGGCAGAGGCAGGTGGGTCTCTGTGAGATTGAGAGGCCAGCCTAGTCTATATAGTAAGTTCCAGGCCAGCTAGTGCTACAGAGAGACTCTGTCTCAAAAACAAAAATAAACAAAGAAGAGGGAGTGAGGCACAGAACGGTATACAGACTACATTCTTATATGCGGGAAATCTAGACTTTTGTATATTACTTATTTTTCTCATGACTGTGGTAAAATACCTGGCTGGAGCAACTTCATGGAGAATAAGTTTAGTTTTGGCTCAGAGTTCAAGAGATACAATGCATCATGGGGTGGGGGTGGCATAAGGCAGCTGGTCACATTGTGGTGGCAGACAGGAAGCAGCAAGACTTTAAACAGAAGCAGAGCCAGGATGTGCCTCAGGGCCCTGTCCCAAAGACCCATTCCTTCCAGACAGGTCTCACCTTCTAAAAGCTCCACAGTCTCCCAAGAAAGCCCTGCCAGGCCAGGACCAGGAGTTTAAACGTGAGGCTGTGGGGGAAATTTCATATTCAAGACATAAAGTGTGTGTTCCTAGACTGTCTCTGGAAGGGCATGTAAGAGACTGGAAAGGGGTTTTCTTTGACTGGGGGAACTGGGAGGTGGATGTGTGGGAACCATCACCCCTTTGAATCTTGCACATTTTATACCCATGGGAAAGAAAGTCAGGCTAAGAGGGAAAGTCTGTGCTGTCTAGGGAAAGGCTAAAATAGAATTGGGGCACCTCTGTCATTCTTGTTCCCTTGTGAAGCTGTTTTGTAGAAACTGTGAGGTCTCAATATCTTCTTTACCCCTGGCAGGTGGTGGAAAGGGAAGAATCACATGACTCCCGCTGCCTCTTCAGGGTATGTTTTGTTCCCAAAGACCCCCTGGATCTCCTGAAAGAAGACCCAGTGGCCTTTGAATACCTCTACCTGCAGGTGACTGGGCTGTGCTTCCTGAAATGACGTTGTCTTCAAAGATACTCATTGGGTTATTCTGAGTTTGTAGCAGTTAAGCATCTTTCTGGAAGGGATTGTCTTTTCCTGGAGGCCAGTGTGTCTGCTTATCCCTTCCAATTCCCTTTCCAGCTACCCAGTTGATGTAATAGGAGCTTTACAATGCAGTAATCAAATGCAGGCTTAGTCCTCAATGTAGATGATGTATTTTTCTAATGCTGTTAAGGGCGGTTACAGTTTCAGTTTTATTGCAGGAAGGGGCTTTAGTGCTGCAGAGCCTCGTGTTAGAGATGATGTAACTAAGTCTTGGAAAGATCTTATGTCTGGGGTCCCCACTTAGTGGAAAAGCCAAAACCTGATTTCTCGACTCCCATCCTAGTCTTCCCTTCTACTTCCTCGGGTGAGAGTAATTTTGCCATTTCTCTTTTGATGCAAAGAATCATTTGGAAGGTGACACCATTTTACAGAATGGGCAACTCAGATTTAGGGGGTTGACTAGCCCAAGTCTTACAGAAATAGTACCAGGAAATAATAATACTCGTAACACCATTAATGTGTTGTATTTACATTTCATGAAACCATGAGCCCATTTTTTTAAAAAATATTGCTTGCATGTATGTGAGTGCACCTGTGTCATGCAATGCCCTCAGAAGAGGGCATCAGATTCCCCTGGAACTGGTGTTAAGGACGGTTCGTAGCCACCATGTGGGTGCTGGGAATCGAGCCTGGGTCCTCTGCAAGAACAGTCAGTGTTCTTAACCGCTGAGCTATCTCTCCAGCCCCACTGTGAGCCTTATACCTACATTCTTGTGTGTTATCTTTTTTAAAAAATATATTTTATTTAATATTTTTATTTTATGTGTATGCATGTATTGCCTGCACGTAGGTAAGTGCACCCGTGTCATGCAGTGCCTGCAGAGGACAAAAGAGGCTGTCGGATCCCCTGGAACTGGAGTTACGGGGATCCTAAGCTAAGAATAAGGAGAAACTGGGATCTTAGGACTTAAAACCAGTTAGCTACCATGTGGGTGCTGGGATTCGAACCTGGGTCTTCTGCAAAAACAGTCAGTGTTCTTAACCACTGAGCCATCTCTCCAGCCCTGTGTGTTATCTTTTATAAACCTCACAAGAATCTTGTAGTGTAGAACAGATCATATGCATTTAGCAATGGAAGGCCTTAGTGCACAGAGAGTCCTGTGCACCTTAACCAAGGTCACACAGCCAAGAACTGTCAGAGCCAGGCCTCAAAGCTGAATGCTGGCCCTGCTACCTTTCACCTGAAAGAATTAGGGGTACAGTGTGTGTTCTCTTGTTGCCCAACTGCTCTGTCTGATCTCTTCTAGAGCTGCAGCGATGTGCTCCAGGAGCGCTTTGCTGTGGAGATGAAGTGTAGCTCCGCACTGCGGCTCGCAGCCCTGCACATCCAGGAGCGGATCTATGCCTGTGCCCAACCACAGAAGATCTCTTTGAAGTACATAGAGTGAGTGCCGGGTGACAGCAGCTGTGTCACATTTGTGACTGCTGGCCCCTGGCCAGGACGGCCAGACTTCACAGAAAGCTGATATTCATTCTCCCACCCATCTGTCCTTGTCTTTCTATCCCCTTCCCCCTACCCAGCCTGGCTCCCCCAGATGTCAGAGCTGGCTGCTCCCTCTGGGCAGAAGCCAATTCCATATGCAATGACACCACCCCCACTTCCCCCCCCCCCCTGCCCCCCCCCCACTCTTAGAAATTTCCAGGCCCTGGGAGTTTGTCTTAGGCAGTCTGTTGACAACTTCTAAGAGTAGGGATGTCTTAGAAAGCAATTCTTTCTAGAGACATGGACCAGTTCCTGTGGCATTTTCCCACCCTACTGGGGAGGTTTCAAGTCCTAAAATCCCAGTGTCTCCTTATTCTTAGCTTAGAATGCCTCTGAGTGATAACATTCAAGTGTTCTAAGCCCTCCCCATGTCTCATCTCTGTCTTGCCTGGGCATCAAAATCATATGAGTATATCAGATCCTTTGTCTAGCCCCTGGGGTACTAAGTCAAAGTCTAGGGTGGAGAGTCTGAGCCTCCTGTAGTTGTAGCAAGTTTAGGGGGCTCCTGAGGCTTCTGGGATAACAACATTCTAAAGCCTAACCTGGGGATTCATAGGTGTTCTTTATTGCCCGGAAAGAGTGCTTAGGCTGTAAATGTATCTCAGTGGTAGAGCACTTGACTAGTGTGTGCAAGGCCCTGGGTTTGTTGTTCTCTATCATGCATATATGTATGATAATGCCATATATTTTGTTGCTAAAATGACTGAGAACTTCTGCTCTGATTAGTGAAATAGCACACCACACCAAGAGTAATCTGTTTCCAGTGGGGTGCTAAATGGCTGTGGTGATGTTTGTGGAATATGTGTGATTTGTGTGTATGACAGAGACACACCCCCCCCTAGCTGTCTGTCTGTCTGTCTGTCTGTCTGTCTGACTGCCTATCTATCTATCATCTATCTACCTATCTGTATCTCTACCTTTTTCTCTGTGTCTATCTCCATCTCTCTTCCTCCCACTAGAGAAAGTAACTTATGACTGCTGCATTATGGGAACTCTAGGTCTGAATTAAAGTAACTTATGACTGCTGCATCATGGGAACTCTAGATCTGAATTAAATGGCATTTTGCTCTTCGTTAGCATCTGTACACTGTAAACATGAGCCTCCCTCTCTCCTCTGTCTCACTGCAGGAAAGACTGGGGAATAGAGAACTTTATATCTCCAACTTTACTCCGAAACATGAAAGGCAAGGATATCAAGAAAGCCATTAGTTTCCACATGAAGAGGAACCAGAATTTGCTGGAACCCCGACAGAAGGTTAGGCAGCCGTAGCCTCTGCTGACCCACCCAGCCCTCTGTTGTGAAGTCTTGGGGAAAACATTTTGAATATTGCATGGATTTTAGGCAAGTAAATAACCCTGATTTCAACAATCTTTTTTTTTTCTATTGAAGCAACTTATTTCTGCTGCTCAGCTACGCTTAAATTATCTACAGATCCTTGGTGAACTCAAGACGTATGGTGGAAAAATCTTTAATGCTACTCTAATGGTACGTATCAGACAACTATGCTTATGCGGGTCCTTGGAGGTTCTCTGCAGATCTGAATACCTATCAGCCTAACATGCCTGAGGACTTTGCTATGTCCTTGAATTTATTTCCAAAAGTAAATATTATACCATTGACAAGTATTTATGAGACCCTGACTTGGGGTTAGCCTTGTGGAAGATGCTGGGAGAGGCAGAGCTGAATTAGTTGGGACTTTTGTCCTCACGGATAAAACAAGCTACCCCACAAGACAAAGCCAAGTCACAAGGCACACCGATAGCCACTGCTGGAGGGTGATAAGACAGATGGCACCATTGCTAACTTAGGTTGGGTCCAGGAAGAGAAGGCTCTCAGAAGATTGTGGGGAACTTGACTAGAGAATGGAGAAAAGGTACCAGGGTGAGGTGTATTGTAAAGCAGTGCACTTGGGAGCTCTGGGTACATGAGCAGAGAGGGAAACAGAGTGATGACTGTTAGACAGACTGTCAGGCTGGGCCCTGATGGTTCAGAAGGAAGAATTGAGGTGTGGGTCTAAGGCAAGAGAAGCTGAATAGCCCTCTGTCCTGAGCCCATTCTTCTTCCTACTTCCTTTGTGGAGCCTCGGTCTAGTGTATGTGCTTCTCAGCCATCAGTGTCCATGGGTTAAGGGTCTCTCTCCCACCATGCAGCCAGCCCCAGAACTTCCCAGCACAGAGCCAGTTAACTAGTAGGTATTTATTTTAATAGTAACAATACTGCTTTGGGAGATTTGATGCACCCTCAGTTATTTTCAGTGATAGGTCCATTTAATCAGACTGTTGGCCTCACAGCATAGGTAGAAAAAGAGTTTGGGGGAGTTAGAGGAATGGAAAAAAATTGACAGAATCTTTGTATAAGGAGGAGGCTCCAAAGTGGGAAAGAGACCAGATCACAGAATAGGGTTTGAAGGGACTGGGAAAACTTCCAGTGTTTCCAAGGACTATTACCTTCCCTCCTGAGCCTGCCTTTACCTTTCCTGTCTCAGGAAAGAACTGGGGCTGGGAAAGGCAGCTAGCTACACAGATGACTCAGGGTGCTGGCTTGGTTACAAATATACATTAATACAGACTCTACTGTCAGATAACATATAGAAATAATTAAAATAAGGTATTCCTAATGTTCTCAGAGTCATACAGGAGAAGTGGTATGGGACCAGCAGGGAGAAAATGGGCTATTCTGGCTTGAGGAGGCCGAGCCTTTCCCTATCAGTAGGATTTTTGTTGTTGTTGTTGTTGTTGTTGTTGTTGTTGTTGTTGTTATTGTTTGTTTTATTGAGACAGGGTCTTGAGTAGTCCAGGCTGGCCTTGAACTTGCTATGCACCTGAGGGTACCCTTGAATTCACCCCCCTCTCTGTACCTCCTAACTGCTGGGATTAGGTAGTGCTACTAATGCTGGTGGGAGTAGGTTTCATAGGAACATCTAAGGAAGGGTCAGGATTCCAATAAGGATGACAGGGATAAGATTCCAAGAGAGGGGCGTAGCACGAACTCAGGCAGATAGGTGGAAAAGCACAAATTGTGGCTAGGGAACAGGGAACAGTCCTCTATTGGAAAGGTTTATAGGAGATAGGTTTATTTTTCATTAATTAGTCACGGATGGGTCCCATGCTGATCAGGAGTTCCATGGAATGGTGGTGAAGAACTAAAGAAGGAAACAAGACTGTAGAGCAAGAAGCCAGGCATGGCACATACTGTAATCCCAGTACTCAGGAGGCTGAGGCAGGAGGATCACAAGTTTGAGGCCAGCCTGGATACACAGCAAGATCAGAGAGTTTACAGAGAGGGGCATCATGTGCAATGTAGTTCCACTAGCTTGTGAATAGAAACTAATTTCCCTTCCACTCTGCTGCAGTTACAGGATAGAGAATCCTACATTGCCCTTCTAATTGGAGCCAAGTATGGGATTAGCCAGATTATCAATAGTAAGCTCAACATCATGTCCACATTGGCAGAGTTTGCCAACATCAGCCGCATAGAGCTGACAGAAGAGTCTGAGAAAGTGAGCATGGTCAAAGTGTATCTCCAGGACATTAAGGTAACACATGGAGAACAGACTCCAAATCTGGTTTCTGGGGCTTGGGGCTAAGTTATTCTGGGGGTTTTATATGAGCTTTGAGTGATAATAAAGCCCATTGTTCAATATGTATTTACAAGGATCTGCTTCAAATGGAAGGTGATGAGCAGGCTGCGTTATCCTGAGAGGGTCCTGCAAAGCTTTTGTTCTGTTTGTCGAGTCATGTGCTTTTTTGATGAAAAGTTTTGGACCCAAAGTTTGCTGGGTTCAGAAAGGTAGATGAGACCATCAGAGAGCCTCGCCAAGTACATGGGCCCAGAATGGCTGCTCAGGAGTTTTGAGCGTTGGGGGTTAAGATGGCTAAGTAGCTCAGGGTAAATAAAAGCCCTGCGTTTATCGTTCCCTCACCCAATATGCTAAAGAACGGTGCTGTACTTTTATCATCCTTCCCTTCACTTTCTACTTCTTCCTGCTCCTTTCCCTTTGGTGGATCAGGTCTTGAAGGGGCCGCATTGTCTGAATGAGCAGGGTGGGTGGGATGGGTAGGGTGTGGGGCTGGCGTAGAGGAAAGAGCAAAAGGAGGTAGTGTATGGATTTGATGAGAGACACTGTGCGTGTGTGAGGATATGCATGTGTGTGTGTGTGCCTGTGTGTGCACGCATAGATGTATATGTGCTTGCATGTTTGGTCACTTAGTACCTTATAGATGAGACTCTGGGACCCTTTTGGGCCAGTCTGTGGACCATGTCTGAATTTACTTGGAATCTCTCTTTGGACCCACAAGGCCTTGTTGTGTCTTGGCCCGCTGTGAACAGAAAAGTTCTGGTTTCCTTCATAGGTTCTGACGTTGTTACTGGAGTCCAGCAGTGCAAAAGACCTGGCCTGCTTGATTGCTGGGTACTACAGGCTGTTTGTCGACCCAGTTAATTCTGTTTTCCTCTGGTCTGGAAGTAGACAGCAAATTCACCGAGTGTCTGCTGAAGAAGGTGAGGTGCTCAGTCTTCCCCTAGTAAGTACAGGCCAATTTCCCTGACCTCATAGGTAAGGGCAGCCTAAAGGGAACTTTGACTTGGGTAAGAAGTATTTCTCCAATAATTTCCAATTGAACAGGTGGTCTTTCCTAAATAATAGAAAAACCTTCTTTGTACCTGGAATTCTCCTAACACCAAGGAATACTCTTGAAGTCTCTGATACCCTGAAGCATTTCCTAAACTCATTTCTAAAATCTGCATCTTATTTCCTAAGAAAAAGAGATGACACTTGCGTTTTCAGAAAGCAGATGACCTGGTTCTCTTCCAGGCCTTTGTATTTGTGTTACTCACATTTCTGTTGCTGTGATAAAAAGCAACTTATAGAAAGAAGACTTTATTTAGTTTATGGTTCTAGAGGGATTAGAGTCTGTTATGATGGGGAAGCGTGGCAATGGAGGTGGCCAGAGCAAAAAGCTGAGTGCTCCCATCTCCAAGCACGTGCAGGAAGCAGAGAGGGCAAGCTGAAGTGGGGCAAGGCTATGAACTCTCAAAGCCACCCCCAAAGACATGCTTCCTCCAGCAAGGACATACTTCCCAAACTTCCCAAACAGCAACACCAACTGGGACCAAGTATTCAAATACTTGGAACCTATGGTGAACATTCTCATTCGAACCACCACAGAACTTTCGCATTCTCTTGAATTATGACAGAAATGTTCAGTCTTACATGTTTAGAAGTAAGAGGTACCTGGAGACAAAAGAGATGTGAAATCATAACATGCTATGAATGAAGAAGTGGAGGACAGGGGAGACAAACAGGTTCCCTGGCAGCTTCCAACTGCCATGAGGCTTTTGTTGGGCTGTTTTATTGATGTAGCATTTTGCCTGGGGTGTGCTGATAAATGTTTAATAACTGTCTCTGCGGGGGGGGGGTGGAAACCCTGACTTGAAACAATTGCCTAATTCTGTTGAATAAACACTCTTACCATCACTACCATTCCAAGCTACCAATATAATGTCCCTAAATGTGGAGGTGGAAAGAGGTGCTCAATAGCTTACCATTAGATAATGTTTCTTCCATATGAGTGAAATAGATGAAGATCAGCTCAAGAGACGAGACAGCAGTAGACTAAAATGCAGTCATCCTTGTTATATGTGCAGCCACAAGGGGTTGGTTCCCAAACCCTCTGTGGTTACCAAAACCCACACATGTTCAAGTCCTTTCTATAAAATAGTTTAGAATGTCTACGTAACCTACATGCATAAAATTTCTTTCTTTTTCCTTCCTTCCTTCTTTTCCTTCTTTCTTTCTTTATTGGTCTTTTGAGATAGGGTCTCCCTATAGCCCCAGCTGGCCTGGAACTCGCTGCTACGTAACCTACATGCATAAAATTTCTTTCTTTTTCCTTCCTTCCTTCTTTCTTTCTTTATTGGTCTTTTGAGACAGGGTCTCCCTATAGCCCCAGCTGGCCTGGAACTCGCTTAAGACCAGGCTGGCCTTACAGAGATCTACCTGCCTCTGCCTCCCAAGTGCTGGGATTAAAGGTGTACACCACCACGCCCATCTTCTCACATATATTTTAACTAATATATTGCCTAAGCCCATCCACGTCAACGCCATGTATGTGTTCCCTGCAGAGATAGTAATAGTTGTGCTTTCAGATTCGAGTGAGTGCATTTATTAAGTATATTAACAAGCAAAAGTAAAAGAACAAAATAGCAAGCAGCAGGCAACAGCAGAACATCAGATCAGGCATTTACATCATCACATGGAATAGTGTAGAAGTGATAGGAACAGTTAGCTGGAGTCCCTGATTGACAAAGAGGGTCCCAGGCAGAATGTCTTCTCTGCAGATGAGCTTCAGACTTCTCTTTCCCAATACCAGGTTTTTGTACCATGGGATAAACAATAGTAATCTCATTTGGAAATGGTTTCCCTTCTGGCTAGTCTCAAAGACACAATGTTGTTAATAGTCTTAGTGGTCTACTGGTCTCCTTTCTCTGTATAACATAGCCAGGGGGCCAGCCTGCCCTGGGACAGGTAGTTTTAGAGGATACTTAAAATAAACATGCTTGAGTCTGAGGCAAGGGAACCCATCTCTTATTCTCAGAGTCAGCTCTCAACAAGCACAAACAGCACATGACAGCTAACCAATATAATTTATGGTATAGTCAAATGCTCTACCACTGACCCGTACCCCCATAATTTATATTACAGTATATCTTTGTTATACTGTGTGTATTCAGAAAGAAAAGCTTGTGCATTTAGGTGCATTTTTTCCCTCTAAATATTTTCAATCTGTGACTGCTTGAATCCATGGGTATATCCTACAGATACGGAGGGCCTGTAGTTAGGAAAGGATGAGGAGCTTTGGGTATATTTCTTTTGCCTTTGCTAAGCATTTCTAAATGAGGAGTTGCTTAGAATCTGGTCATGGAGACAGCACAGAGTGAGAAGGGCTGCCATAGGACAGGTGACAGTGGTCAGAGACAGTGTTCTAGAGGTTGGTCCCTGAAGAACATCCTAGAACTACCCAGGTTAAAAAAAGAGAGAGAGAGAGAGAGAGAGAGAGAGAGAGAGAGAGAGAGAGAAGAAGCATGACCCAGGAGCAAGGTTGGAGAGGGCTGCAGAAGGCAGCCATGTTGTTGGGGTAGGGATAAGCCATACTGTAAGGGGTGTGACAAAGGTGCTTGGTGAGGAATCAGAACCACAGTGTGAGATGAACCGATTATGAGAGAGGGGACAGGGCCTTTCTGTGAGAGGAACAGCAAGGCCACACTGAGAATCTTTGCCCCTCATAAAGGAGCTTGAGCTCTTCCCTGTAGGAAGAGGATGTCAGGGAAGAGATCATGTAGTATACAGAGAAACATTTTAGAAAATCACCCTACAGGCTAATAAGACAGGAATAGGAAATCCAGCCCGAAGTTGCCTCCCTCCACCGTGAACTCATCCCTGGTACCTGCAGCTAAATGAGTCTCTACTGTTCTAAAAGGCCCATAGCAGCAATGGGTCTCCAAGGCCAGGGTTCAGAACGGTGCCATCTAGCAGCCTCAGACCCGACTCCTCACAGATTGATGAGGAGTAGGCCAAGGATCTGTTTTGCATTTTACATTTGATTCCCCATATTGATTTTGATGTTCGGGCAGGATAGGGATAGTATTTGAGGAATGGTTTAATTCACAAGAAAGACCTAACTGATTACTCACCACTTTTCTATGGATAGATAGGTCTTCTTGCTCTACCTAGGAGGTGAATTAATCCCATCTCTTTAGATTGCTCAGACAGATGGGGGACAGGCAGCCTAATGGTGTGGTGTCTTTGGGTTCTGCATCAGTTGATCCAGGATGGCAGAAGCAGGAAGACACACAGGTCAGTCCTGGATGCTGGTCTGTAACCTTCATTGTCCCATGTGTTACAGGCTATGAGTCCAGGGCCTGCAGTGACTCAGAGGAGTCCTCCGAAGTGGACTGTATACTGGAGCCCCTCTCTGACCGACGCTTGGTGAAGCTGGGACTCTGCAGACCATTTGTTAGAGAGGAGCAGCCTCCTGGTGACAGCTCCTTACCTGAAGTGACCAGGAGGGGTTCAAGCACTTGCGGAGCCAGTAGCACTACGGACAGTGCTGAGTCTGAGGCATCTGACTCAGCCAATACTGAGAGTCGGGGCTGCAGGACCAGTGGCTCCAGTGAGTCCATGGATGCCCTAGAAGAGGATGACTTAGATGCCTGCTCCTCCAGCAGGTCCAGCTTCTTCCACTTTGGCTCTCCAGGCTTCTCAGACGGTCTTGTTTCCAACAGCCAAGAGGAAAAGAACAGGATCGAGACTAGCAGTTTTTTATGTCTGCTAGACCTGGCCCAGAATGCCAACCCTCAGTGCCAGAAGACAGAGTGTCCCCAGGGTCTTGCTCCCGAGGCCTGCAGCTGGGGACCAGAACTGAGCATGGGTAGGTTGGACCCCAGATTATATGAGAGTAGCCAGACTGACTATTATAACCTGTGCTCCAGTGTCTCCCCAGCCAGCCACCTGAGTGACAGTTCAGAAAGCACAGCTTCCAGGCAGGGGGCCACACCTCCGCCATGGGGCCAGCACGGATGGGTGGAGGCTCAGCCCAGCTCTACACTGGAAGCTCTGGCTTTGCACCCACTGCCACCACTGGCCTTTGAAGATGGCAGCTCAGATGAGGAATACTATGATGCAGCTGACAAACTAACACCCCCAGACACCCTCTCAGGTGAGCCTTCACCCCATCCCAGTAGGTCTGTATCCTGGGCAGGTGGCTAGCTCTTAAGGACACAGGGCTAGATGAATGAATGGAGCAACATGAATAAAACAGGGTGTTGTCCACTCTTGAGGCTGACCTGGATTCCATGAACCAAATTGTAAGCAACATGGCCTCAAGTCAGGGCTGCAAGGGCGGTTTGGAGAACTGTGGGTAAGGGGAGATGAGGGGGATTCATCTCACTATACAAGCCAGAAAAGCTTCCCAGTAAAGGTGCCATATGGTCTGGGCCCTGATGACTGGACAGAACCCACAAAATGGAAAGGGGCATCACAGGAGTGCCCAGTAAAGGGAGTGGCTATGCCATTGTGGACCCTGAAGGTTCTTGAAATCAGGCCTCGAGGCAACAAGAATCTAACTGATGGGCCATTGATGGTGTTGATGGCCTTTTGGGACTCCAAGGGACCCTGACATCAGAAGGCAAGGGATCTATTGTCTGTGTTTATAACAGGATGGAGATATATTCCCTCCCCCAACAAAGAGTACCAAGTCTCTAATCTATAGTACATAATACCCTGTCTCAAAACTAAACAGACAAAAAAGCAATGTAAAGTCTTTCCACACAGAAAGACTTCCCAAGCCAACCAGAAAACCTTGCAAGACATATAACACATGTATGTATATACACACACATATGCTCGCTCACACTCTCTTAACATACTCTGAAGTAAAATCACATGGAGTCATTGACAGTGACCTCCTAAGAGCTGGGAGAGGAGGTACTGTTCTTTCCTTTCTGTTTCAGCCTTTCCTGTTCCTCTCTGATCCTGCCCTCCTGTGGTTTCTTTTGCCCTTGGGAGAAAGGCCAACTCCTGAGTGGACGCAGTGAGGCTGTCTGTGTCATGGCCCCTGCCTTCCTCTCTTCTCTCCCTCTCCTTATCCCTCTCCCTTTTCCTTTCCCCGCTCCCTGCATCTCAGCAGGCCTTTGTACCTTCTTCCCTGGTCCTTAGCTGCTGGTGCTCATCATCTGTTGGGTCTCAATGAAGGTTCCGTTCCCCAGAGAGCATTTCCCAGGTTTCCCCGACTAGCACAGGCCACCTACCTCAGTCACAGGTTCTTTCAGCACTCTTGGCTGTTCCTGCTTGTCCCTTGGTACTGCCTACAGTTACACATTTACTTGGATGGTTGTGTGGGGCCTGTGTTTCTTGCTCCTCTGTGTCCCCAGCATATAACACCTGGCCATTGTTGCTAAATGACTGGGAAAACTGACTGCTGTCTACCTTGACTTCGTTTTTTTTTTTTGTTTGGGATTGTTTGGTATTTTTTGAGATGGCTTCTCATGTAGTCCTGGCTGGCCTCAAACTCACTATGTAGGCAAAGATAGCTTTCAACTTTGGGTCCTCCTGCCTCCACTCCAATTGCCAGGATGACAGGTGTGTACCACCATTCAGTTTTACCCTGTGTTCAGTAACTATATCTGCAGGGAAAGAAATAGCAATGAGAAGATTGCATTATACCCCCAAGAACCTTGCCACTGCCCTCCTATGCCCTCCCCTACCACCAGTCCTTCCCTGCTGAGCTAGCCCTGTGTCTGGAGGGGGATGAGAAGTGTGGCTGAGACTGGCAGGCGGTCTTTTATGGTGGCCTCATTAGGAACTTAGGTCCATTACTAGACACTCTCATTCACAGGGAGGGGGCCAGTGTGATGCTAAACAGAGAGCCTATAACTGAGACCCTTGTACCTGAACAGAGTCCTATGATCAGTGGGTATAGGTAGCTGAGGCACTATCTCCCAAACATAGCTAAGCATCAGAATCACCCAAAGAACCTTGTTTAAAGTCTGTCAGTTCCTCCGTGTTAAACTGTGATTCTGACTCCAGAGGTCTGGGAGATGGCCTAGGATTCAATGAGATTTTCAGTACTTGTGCAAACAGGAATGTTTGGTCTGAGTGCACAAGCCTCTGATTTCCTGCTAATTTGTGATCCTGGTGCCCTCTGCCTAATTCCCAAGACTTCTTCACATGCTGCTTCTCCTGAGAAAGATCATCCCAGCATGGGCAAAACCCTCATGAGAGCCACTGGGGGTTGAGGCCCCTGTTTGTGCAAAGAAAGCTCCCTCATAATCCTGACATAGGACATGAGAATTACAACCAAAACAGTAGCAGCTATGGGCTTGAGTTAATGTCGTCATGAAGAAAGGCCTAGAAGGACTAAGAGCTTATAGAGTGCCAGCAAGTCCCAAGACCTGGATTCAAACATGGATAGCAACCAGGCCAGGATTCTGGGTAGTAGGATTCCCCCACTGTATTATTAAGGGCTTTGTGGCTGGAAAGAATGGGCTCTACTTACTGTTGTTGTTGTTGTTGTTGTTGTTGTTGTTATTTGGGCTACAGTCTTGATATGTAACCCAGGCTGGCTATGAACCCACTGTGTAGCTCAGGCTAGCCTTAAACTTGCAGGGCCTCCTCAGTGCTGGGATTCTAGCCACACCTGACTTTGGGTTTTGTTGTTGTTGTTGGTTTAAGATTTATTTTATGTGTATGAGTATTTGCCTACATATGTGTATGGGTACCATGTGTGTGCTTCAGAGGTCAGAAGAGGGAGTCAGGTTCCCTGGAACTGGAGTTACAGGTGGTTGTGAGCTGCCATGTAAATGCTGGGAACCAAACCCAGGTCCTCTTTTTTATTTTTAAATCAATGTATTAGAGATTGAAATTCTGGAGAATTTATAGCTGACTATCTGGGGTGTGAATCTGATCACTTCAGATAATATATGGAGTCACCTTTAATAGTTCTAGGGTGTGAGTGTAGCTTGAGTGCTAGAATACTTGCCCAGCATACATAGTGTCCTGGGTTTGATCTCCACCGGAGTGTAACCACTGGGGATATGTCATCCCCTGAAATGAAGTTTGAGGTGCTCTGACTAAAAGACAATAAATGGATCTCAGGTAATCAACATAAAAAATGTCTAGTATCAGGGCTGGAGAGGTGACTCAGCAGATAAGAGCACTGGCTGCTATTGCAGAAGACCCAGGTTAGGTTCCCAGCACCAACCTGGTGGCTAACAACCATCTGTAACTCCAGGTCCAGGAGATCCAATGCCCTCTTCTGGCTTCTGTGGGTACTGCATGACATGGGTACACTAACATACATGTAGACAATATACTCACACACATAAAATGTCTACTATAATTATTTTCCCCATCTTTCAGATGAGGAGACTAGGAAAAGGAAAATTTAACTTGTCCAAGATTATACAGCCTAGCCAGGACATAATCTAGGCAAGCCCAAGTGCTGGGCACAAGCTCTGAACAACTCTCTCT